CATGAAAATAAATGCATCAATATTCGTGAAGCACTTGGATACTTCAGAGGGGAGAATTATAAGTCCCATGATGGCATTAATCATTAGTTTTTGAGAGCAGGGTGGAAGATAGTAAATTAAATAAGTCATGGGGCTCCATACAAAACAAGGAGAAAACAAAGTATTGAAATGCTTCTCATTAAGACACAGATACTCAAAGGTATTTTAAGCACTGAGAATCAAGCTTCTTAGATGAGCATCTATTGGTTTTTTATTTACTTTTATTTTTAACTGAACAAAACAAGAGATCTGCAAGAAAAATTGTCAGTGATTATGTTATTATAGGTTGTAGCATAATGCACTATTCAATAAAGTTTGCATCAGAATGCATGTGCACCAGATCTAGGGCACAAATTGACATTGCCCAAGCAATCTTAGTTTCAACATTTACCAATGTCCCATTGCTTGACTTGGCAAAACATACGATTTTTCTCAATAATTAGTGTACAAATAATTTTCTCTGGTTTTAGGATAATACACAAAGTCATCCTCCATGTGCCCACATCTGTAGGAGACAGGGGATGGGAACGCTTCTCTTGCTTCATCCCTCCCCATATGAGGTACATACCTCTGGCAGCAGAGTAAATGACACAAATAATTGGTTGTCATCTTTTTTGAATCAGCATCCGGAGGGAAAGAACATTTTGCCAGTGAGTTTCACCAATGTTTGCTGACATCAAAACAACAGTAGAAATCAGGCATTGTTAGTTCAGTCAGGATCATAAGAGAGCACACTGAAATAAGCACAGGCTTTTCTAGCTGCTCCTCAGGCGGCTTCACCCCTTTTACCACTTTCAACTCATCCTTCTTTCTTTTGGTTTATCTTACCTCACATCCAGCTTTGACAATACTCAACTGACCCTCCTGAGCTGAAAAATCCCTTGCAGCATTTTGATAAGGCACTGCATGTCCAGATCCAACCTCATAGCCAATCCTGTTTCAAGAGGAGGGGAGACTAGAGACCTCCTGATCCTTTTCAAATTGAATTTTCATATGATCCTATGAAAACACCATGCTTTTCTCCAGTATTAAAATAGTCTTCATTCCAATAGGTAGGTTTATTAATCAAACTTTGTACCAAGTAACTTTGGTTTATTACACTGCCATAATTCCACCTCTATGGTACAAGATTCCTTTAGACAAAAAAGGCAATGAAGCATGCATCCCATAAAACAATAAAATACAGCTAAGGTTGTTATGGAATGAAGTTGCTGCAAATTCCACATAAACCAGGAATTTATGCCAGGAGTTCTTCAAAGTACTGGGGCTGGCCTTCCAACAATGTGAAAATGTTAACACCAGGGATAAGGGAGCTTGATTTTTTTTTCCTTCCCTCGTGTAAACATGATAATATTTCTCTGTGTCCTGGTTTGAAACCCTCTTGAGCTGCAGTGGGTGCCAATGTTTGTTCTGCAACAGGGCAATCAAACTGCTCCTGTCAGAGTAGGTCATAGTCACCTTCTCTGTTCCTCCACTGCAAACTGTCGATGACCCAGGTCGTAATGGTGCACAAATTTTCTAATATAACTCAGTGAAGGTGGATAAAATAAAAAATAACACATTGATTTGTTTTCTTCTTGAATACAGCTTATCTTTTAAACTGTATCTTTTTGTATTTCTGTGAAGGATTACCCCACTCCTGGTTCTTCTCTCTCACGTCAAGAAGGCACTGCTGGAGAAACCTTACTTGACCACAAAATGTAGCTCCTCACGAAGCCTTGCTCAGGAGAGAGAGTTTTGATGCTTAACTTCAGCATTTATTCCTATGTAGGGTCTACCACCCATCTGAAATATTCCTTTAAAACAATTTTCATTTCCTCATTTAAACCAAAAAACACTTTTCACAGGAGTATGTGAAGGCATTTCTCTTTTTTGAGAGATTTTTTTCCCATAACGTTTTGCTTCAGTAGTACTTATTCATCAAAAATTTATTTCTTAGCTCCTAGAAATGTGTTTTCTTTCCTCTTTTGTCTGCAACCTTCTTCTACTCAGAAACAGTCTCTTGAGGATCACTGTTTCAAGGGCAGAACTTCTACTATGTAAAATACGTAACCCTCAGGAAAATGCTACCTTTGAAATTTTTCTGTTCCAAACAAAAACTCAGGATGTAGAAGCAGCCCAGAAAAGGTGGAATGAAAATGTTTGATCAGTTTGAGTAAGGGTTGTAATCTCTCATTACACGCTTTTCATTGTACTGTATGACTTTTTTCTCTTTCTACACCTACTTGCTTCTCTCTAATGGTTCTTTTCCTTTCCATTTCTCCCCAGTTTTCAATCCTTTGCTTTCTTCAGAACTTGCTCTTGAGACCTCCATTCCTAAAATTCTCTTCCCCTCGACATTTTGATTGAAGCCATGATGAGGCCTTTTCCCCTTAGTGGGAAAAGACAGTGAGTGGTAGCTGGGAGTTTCTAGAAGACCTGTCACAAATGATCACATTGCAGAAGAAATTTAGGTATGTTAGGAAGGAGGCAATTGGGCTAATCATGAGCTCACAAAAAAACAAGCACAGAGAAAGCAGATCTTTCCATAGGATGAGTGCAGAAATGTGGCTTGGTAAGAATGGGTAAGAACAAACACAGAAAAAGCCAATACAACAAATAAAACTTAACTAGAAAGAGCATTCCAAGTAGTGAGAAACCATTTGATAAGTACATCAGTGGTAAGAGGAAGTCAAAAGCAAGTGGATTACTCATCAGATAGAAAAAGATATTGACTGATGCCAGAGATGGCTCAGACTGCCTCAGATCTTCTTTGCACCAGCTAAAAGAGTTCACATTTGATCAGGTGACTGATGTGATACACATTAATGACAAGGGAATAAGGTTTCAGCCCAGGCTGGGGCAGAACAAGAACACTTAGGTAACATCAAGATGTTCAAAGCAACAGTCTGGCTGCACTTTATGCCAGGGTAGCGAAGGAAGTGGCTGAAACAGCATTGGAAACACTCATGTTTATCTCTGAGAATCCAGGGAATAAATAAGGGCAAGAAATAAGCAAACTGATGCCTGTCTTTAAAAGTAGCATTTGAAAATAAATAAAATAAGCCAGTTTTTCACCCAAGAAAGCATCTAGTACAAATAGACACACGATTTGTAGACAGGTAGAAGGAAACAATAGGGTAAGCAACCATTAATATGAACTTGTCAACTAGAAACTGGGACAATATGGGCAAATTTCCCTTAGCAATGGGGAGCAGAGAATGTTATGGAAGAGGGGATAGTGGACTCCACTCATCTGTGCCTTGATTAGGCTCTATGCACAAGCTTATGAGGAAGGGAGTTCAGCTAATCTGAAAAATTTAGGCAGGGGGTACAGAAGTTTGGAAACAGCAGTTGTCAGTGTTTTACAAGCAAGAGGGAGGATTACAAATGCAGTTCCAAAGGGGGTGTTTTGTTAGCAGCCTTCAGAGATGGCACTAACTGGGGAGAGCAACTGTAAACACATTGGAGGATGACATAAGAATTCAAAATAACCCCAAGAAGTTACTGGGAAAGCAAAGAACATGACTGAAAAGCACTGTGATGAATTGTTTTTGCAGGCAGGGTTACCCCCTGCACACACAGAGGCTGGGGCGCTGCTCAGCACGGGCTGCAGACAGCAGCTGAGGAGAGAGCAGAGAGCTGCAGGCAGTCCGTGGCCAAAGAGACTGCAGCAGAGGCAGACAAATTGCAGCTGGTCATCTTAAAGAAAACATGGCACAGGGATGTGATAGCAGCCATCAGATGTAAAAGGACACTGCAACACAGAAAGAGGAGACTTCCCTTGGCAGGGACCACCACATTCACATTTCAGCAAGGAATATTCAGAGAGGAGGATAAAGTGTCACCTGGAGAGGCTGTAGGGCCTCTGAAGTACTGGGCGTTCTTCAGAGCAGAAGCCCCACAAAAGGGACACAGAGACACACTGAAGTGGTGTAGATGTGAAACCTTTCTGGTGTCCTCTGTAAGACAAAGGGCTAAAGGGAGGGAAATCTAAGGCATTAATGGTGAACAATAATTTGCTAGCAGAGACGAGATCAAGTACATGAAATTCCATCAACAACCTGCTCTTCCATTTATATTTGGCAATGACACCCATCCTCTTCTAATGCACACAAGCCTTTTCTGCTCACTAGCTGTGTTCACGTGTACAAGCGTATATTGATCTGTTTTCTCTCCTTCCCTTCTTACAAAGGAAAAAATAACTGCAGAGTTCAGTAATGCACGGGCTGCGCTCTACGATGAAAATAGTCTGAGGCACTTACACGCTGAAGTAAATTTAGCTTAACATAAAAATAACCTTCACAAATTTGAAATGCCTATTTTACAATTAACGTCAGGTGCTAACAGGATATAATTTTCTTCCAAGTGTGTGCTGATGTGACAGGCTGACTGAAGAGATGCAGGCACGTCTCCTCGCCGCCCTCTGGGTCTCAGAGATGCCCCCTTCACCTTTCGGCTCTCCCCTCCGAGTCTCGTCCTTTCCCCAGCCACACAGGGTGCTCCTGCGGCTCGGCGATGCGGTGCGCTCCCGCCCAGCCCGCTGCAGCCGTGCCGCGCTGTTAAAGGCGCACGCACCGTGTAAATAATTGATACGGAGCGGGCGCGCCGCGGAGCCCGGGCGCCTCCTCTCCCGCTCCCCAGCCCCGGCGCTGCCCGCCCCGCGGCCCTACCTGCCCCGGCCGCCGGAGCGCGGCGCGGCCGCGGGGCGGCGCGGAGCCCTCGCCGAGCCCTCCCCGCCCCGCGGCGCCGTCCCGCCCCCGGCGGCGGCGGGTCCCTGGCGGGGGCCGGGCCGGGCCGGCGGCGCGGCGGGAGCAGGTGCGGCCGCCCGGCACGGCGGGGCGGAGCGGGCCCGGCAGGTGGGGGCTGCCGGGGGGCGGAGGGCCAGCAGCCGGCAGGGTTTGTCCGCCCGCCTCCGGAGGCGCGGCCGGCGGCACGGCGCGGCGAGCGGGCTGCCGCGGGAGGCGCACGGCGGTGGCGGTGACCGCGTCCGCAGCCCGGGCCGCGGAGGGGCCGGCGGGGCCCCTTGCTGCAGAGCCAGATGTACGGGACGCGGGGCTGCCAAGGCTCGGCGGGGAGGTGCTGGGGGCTGCCGCCGCCGCTGCTGCCGCGGCCGAGGGGGAGCCCTTAGCTGTGCGGGAAGCGGGGAAGCCGCGTCGGGAGCTGTTATTTTCCCCTCCTTCCTTTGCCTTCCCTCTTGTCCCTCCTCCCCCTCCTCACCAAAACCGGGAGAGGAGGCGTGTTCGGTGCCTTGCTGCACCGGTTTTGCTTGGTTTGTTGTTGCAGGGCTTGGTTCTCAGGGCGGCTGGGTTTTTTCTTTTTTTCTCTTTTCTCTTCCAACCTCCCCGCCTTCTCCCTTCCTCTCCTTTGGCCCATCGCATGCTCGGATCCGGCTGGATCCTTCCTTCGCTTTTCGGCGGTGCCTCTCGGAAGGGGGAAGGGAGAGCTGGGATGAGTGCAGCTTGACGCACAGGCGAGGAGCGGGGGGGCACCGCCGGCAGCTGCAGCGGTTCGTGGCCGCAGGCTGCGGGTGAGGAACGGAGAGAGCGAGGGGCTCCCTCGGTGCCTCCCCTTTCTTCGCCCCTGTCCTTCCTCCCCTCCTCCCTCTCTCCCTCCCCCATCCGTCTCCTGCCGGTCCGGCTGGGAGCGTGTGTGCAATACTTTACGCTGCAAGGTGCGCGAGTGTGTGCGCGGAGCGGAGGGAGGGAAGGACTCGCGAGGGAGCCGGGGCTGCCCCGGCCCCCCCTATGTGAGCCTCCCCGGGCGGCTGCATGGCGATAGAGCGGCGCCGTGAGGCGGGCGGCGGGGGCCGGCCGCTGCCCGAGGAGAACGGCTCCGTGCCGGGGGCCGTGGGGGGGGGCGCCGCCGCCCCCCCGGGGCCTCCCCCCGCCAACGCCGCCGGGGCCGAGATCCAGGCGCTGCCGGTGCCGCCGCCCGCCGCCGCCTGCAGCCCGCTGCTCCTCGACTACGACGGCTCGGTGCTACCCTTCCTCGGGGGGCTGGGCGGCCGCTACCAGCGGACCCTGGTGCTGCTCACCTGGGTCCCGGCGCTCGTCATCGGCTTCAGCAAGTTCTCGGACTCCTTCCTCCTGGACCAGCCCGACTTCTGGTGCCGGGAGGCGGACGGGCAAGGCAACTGGAGCGGGACCCTGGCGCCCATCCACGCCAACCACAGCGGCAACGGGAGCATCTTCCCCCCGCCCGGGCTGCCCACCCCCGCGGGGGGCAACGCCAGCGAGTGCGGCTGCCGCGAGTGGCACTACCGCATCCGAGCCGGCCTCGTCCAAAACGTCGTGAGCAAGGTGAGAAAGGCGACTTCCCTCGGTTCCCCTCCCTGTCCAGCCCTCGCTGACCCTGTCGGCTCACGCTCTTTCCAAGGCAAGGGGAGCAGCTGGGCACGATGCGGATCTGTCCTTGCATGCTGTAGTTGGGTCAGTCAAATCCTCGTGGGTGAGCCTCCCACCCGGGGAAAGCCAGTCCCACAGCCGCGCAGCCCTTTCCCTGCCGGGGTGTCGCACCAGGTGTCCAGCCTGTGGATTTGTACCCGCACACTGGTTGCAGCGCTAAGCTGCAAAGTTATGTCCTGAAACGGGATCCTGTGTGTCTCTTTGAGCTCCTGGTAGTGTCCTGCTGTCTCTCGGTGTCTGTGGGAAAGATGCTGGAGGCATGTGCCCCAGCTGATAAGGGGAAAGGGTTGTGGAGAGGGCTCCGGTTGATCTTTGCGCAAGTATACTGAAGCAGCTGTACACGCCAAAAACCAGGTTGATTTTTTGGGGGAACTGAAGAAATGGTGACTGTTGTGTTTAAAATAAGTCAAAAGTTCTCTTGAATTCTTCTGGTTATGTACTTATTCTCTCGAAAACTGTCTTGGCAGAGGAATTGAAGAAATGTTTCACACGAGTTGTTTTACTCCAGAAGCAGAAAGTGCATGCTGCTGTGTTTTGTGTTTCCCCATGTAATGACTAAAGTGGAAAATTTCTAGTGAAGAGACTGTGCCGCTTTCTGCTCTCGCTTTGTATTTGCTGAGTAATGCATATCAAAAAATCACCTTCCCTTTTCACCTCAAAGCTTTTGCTTGTTTATAGTATCAGCCCTGCAAAAGCCCCGCTGGCTGCAGATGGGCCTTATTGATACTAACAGGCAGCTGGAGCTCCTGGAAATGTAAAATGAAATGGATACACCGGGAAAGAAGTTCCCTTAATCTCAAGACCCCCCTCCTAAGATCAGCAAAAATTACTTCCTGCCTGGGAGTAGTGTTTTAGCTTAAATGTGTTTATCTAGTTGGGATAAAGAAACGAGGCAACAGTCAGATGAGCAACATAATTGTGCTTTTGTCAGCCAGCATGCACTTATATTGAATCATTGAAAATCATTTCAGTTTCTCTTTGTGTCCCTTGAAAGAGTGTGCAACAGGGGAAAAGCAAATCCCTCAATACCTTGAACCCAGAATTAAAAAGAAAGGTAGCCCAGCTACATTCCTTTCATGAGAGAAACATAGGCATGTGTTGGATCTGATTGGGTTGTGATACAGAAATGTGTAAGAAAATTAGACATTTAAGAAGGTCAGATTTTCTTCTGTTTATATACAGAGACTGAGCTATTCATATATTTGGGGGTTTAACACTAAAGTTTTCGCATGAAAAAATTATCTTGAAATATTTTTTTTAGTCTAAACTTAAAAAAAAATTTTTGGAAATGTTTGAGTCTTTTGAAGGTCATCGTCAAGTTGGCCACAAAAGGTCAAGGGAGAGTTAGTTTGCTGTCTTGCATGCTTCTTTAGAGATAATAAAAAAAGTGTTCTTTGGAAGAACTTGCTGTAAAGGGCAGATCAATTTTAAGGGATAAACAGACATCTGTGGCCCCTGCTGTCTTGTTTTGTATTAGAAAGAATAATAATCATCTTTTGAGACTATGGGTTTTTCCAGTGTGGAGTTTTTATTTTTTTTTGTATGCTCACTTCCAAAAGCCTGGCAGCTTTTTTGCTTTGATTTGTAATCCCATGTAATTATAATTAGATTGTTTTCTTGAGGTCAGGATTCCTCTTTAGTTTGCGCTTTGTTTTTGTTTTGGGGGTTTTCTGGGTGGGGGTGCTGCCTGTTTTTATTCTATTGGAGAAAGAAAGGAAAAACCCAGACAGAACATCATCACAGCTTGATTTGGACTTCATTTCTTATCAATCCCCAGGAGCTCTGATATTGTGGGAGCAATTCTTGTAACTGCTGACTCCTCTTACATGCATCTCACTGTCCTTTGTGAGAAAGAGCTGCTCTGGATCAATTCAAGAGACTGGATGTTCAGATCACCCTTAACTCTCCTCAAAAATACATTTATTTCTGTAATGTATTATGCAATGTTCTCATCTTTCAAAATGGAGTTTTATTAAATCTTAGTCTAATATATGCTCATCTGTGTAGTAGCCAGGGGTTATATTGAAATATCATAAAGAGAGCCAAAAGTATATTAATAAAAAATGTGCTTTTGTTTGGCAAGTAAATCCTCTTGTACTTACCTTCAGTGGTCTGAGCTAACAGCTGCTGGATGCCCCATCATTGCCTTGTATTCAGAAACAATGAAACAATTCTGGTTCTTTAGCACAAAGCACATTTGATGTACATACATATGAGACATCACTGCTCCCCCCATTCCTCAGGGGTTGGATAGCTGTCCTTAAACTGTTAAGTTCCACTGTCTCCACAGCCTCTCTTCTAATGGTACACCCTTCATTGGAGGCTGTATCTCTGTCCAGGCTTTCTCAGCTCTCCCTTCCCTGATGCCTATTTTCCCCCAGACTATGTCATGCTTGGGATTGATGGAGTGGAGGTCTTGCTATTTCCAGCCCTGCTTGGTGCTTTGTTTAGCCCCACTTCTCTGAGTGTTTGCTGGAGCCAGCAGTGGCCTTGCACCTTTCTTGAAGACTGGCATTGCTGTGTCAGACACTGTCATTATCCTGACCTGCTTGACTGAGTCACTGAGAGCGGTGCTTTTTATAGTGCTGCCAGTCATTAGAACTGGAAATGGTAATAAAGGACATAGTGCTTATTATTTAACACTGCTGAGATACATGTAGTGAAGAGGTCAGATGCATAATTTAACCACAGGGATTCCAGTGGCCATGTTAAATCACCCTTCTGAGCTAATGTCCTGACTTGGCACATAAATCTTGGTCTTTAACTTGGATTGTACATAAATATCTTCCCTTAGCACAATTCACTTGCAAGGCTTTTTCACTGCTAAATGATTCCTTGAAGATTTTCATCTCTTCCTTATCACAACATCAACATCACCATATTGTTATAAACAGTGTACGCATGTATTTCTTGAGAGGTACACCCTAAACCAGCCCTTAGTCAAAAGGCTAGAAAAAAGCCTTTTTAATGGTCCATGTATCATCTCACCTGTGTCCAAAGGAAGGATGCTGAGAAACACTCTCTATATTTTTTTTTTTTTGTGGGGAAGCCTGAGATCACCTTTTAGGCATTTGCAAAGTGGTGCTTCAAGTAAATTATTAGCATTAACAGTGAGCAACATTGTGATAACTAAATGTATGTAGTCATGAAGCTTAGCAGGGAAGCTGGAGTGTGTGTTCAGCAGGGACTTTTCTAACTCTCTCACTAGCTTCCTTAGTGCCTGCATCTTCTGACCATCTGCAAAGCCAGTTGTTATCTTGGGACGATGTTTTCATGGAAGCTCTTCATTACAGGATTGATGGTTGCTGGTTTTTTCTCTCTGTTACTAGCATGACCCATCCTCTGTGTTTGATTGCATTAAGTGGTGGGTTTGTTTGCTGTTCTGCATGCTGATTTGTATAATGGAGACCAAAAGCTGGTGATGGACAGGGACTGGGCTTGATTAAATTGCAGAGGTTGATGGCACAGCATCCCTCTGTGTGCGCTTGCAATGTTCCAGATCATTCCACCTCTTGGGGTTGGCGTAAGAGGGAAGTGGTTAGTTTAGTGGCTGCATTTTAATCACTTGGAGCAATTATGTAATAACATTTCATGTCTAGTCACAAGGGAATTCCTGTTGTGACTGCTTTTATGCTCCAGATGCCTTGTTTTCCTGCAATGCTGTTCACTTGGCTCTCAACTTCCCACTTGATTTGGGTTGTCATTCTTCTTTCCAAAGTGATATGGCAATGGTTTTACCTATTTGCCACTGGTTCAAACATTCTCATGCCAATTTGGCTAAGCCTCTAGCAAATTGTCCCTGCCAAAAAAAAGTGGAGCTGAAGTCAGAAGAGCCAAATGGTCCAGGGGCAAGGATGTCTGAACTTGGATTGGTTTGGTCTATGATTGGTGCTCTTTGCTCCTGCAAGGGGAGATGTCTGTGCTTAACTGGTCTTCCTTCTCCTTGCTCTTATTGCAGTTCTGGCACTTTTCTGGGCACACCTTCATATGATTCAGCTTGTTAGCCTGGTAGAAAACTTCCTCTTAAAAGAAACTTTTTCTTCTTTTCCTGGGTGTTCTACTGGGTTAATCAAAACTAAATTGTTCTGTGCAGTAACGTGTGCTTTACTCTCTGGTATTGCCTCGTGGGATTATTGCTGGTATCTGCAAGTAGCCAGAAATGATAAAACAAATAAATTTCTTCGTGATAATAGTGATGATGAATTTGGCACATTTTGCAGAATAATATTTCTTGGGGTAGAGGATAGGTGTACATTTTAAATGGACTTTCAGAATACAGTTATTAATTACTTTGAAGGGATCCCTCTGACAAGGTCTTTCCCAAAATAAGAACTATGCCACCCTTATCTACTCCCATTTGTGCCTGTAGTCTCATTTGTTTCTGCATATTCTCTAGTTGGCTGGCCTCTGCAGAGAGACTTTAGAAATGCTGATGCTTCTTTTTTTTTTCTCTGCAACTGACAGGATTTCTCTTGTCAATGTTAGTTTCTGGCTGACTGGCTTCTACCTAGTCCCAAATCAATGAAAACCTTGAGTTATTGTATCCACTGCGGTAGTTGGGTCAAAAGTGGCAATATTGAAGCTACTGCATCATTTTGCTTCCACTGAACAGATTGAAGGGGGTGTAGGGACCTGCAAGGCCTAACTTGCAGACGGCAGAAAGTCTGTTCTAAATTTCTTTCAGCCTAGGCTTTGGAATGACTCTCAGCTTCTAATGGGTACTGAAGGTCTCAACAAGTCCCTGTGGTGAGAGGTATCCAGAAATACTGCCAGACCAGAGCAAACATCTTCGACTATTTTATTTCATGGCTTCCTCAGCTATGTGAGAGATCCCAAACTAATTTTTTCCCTTTCTTCCCCCTGCAAGTCAGCTGATAAAGAGTCAGTGGTTACTG